TTGAACCGGCGGATAGGGCTTCAAATTCACTTTCTCCTCATATCACCTTTTCTACCCCTAACCTCCCCGGGGAGGGAGAAAAACTGGAAATCCGGTGACAGCCGTGTCTCGGGATCGTTCGTTCGTGGACAGCCGATGGGGTATATTGATTTAGGTCGGGCGGGTGACTGAACGCCTCCGCCGGGCCCCTCGGCTCGCGCTGAATGCGCTTTTTCTGTACCATGGTTTTCGCGATTTTTGCGTCTTCCGCGGCCTTTACGGCCACGACACCCTCGTTTTTATGCTCGGCCGGGGTAGAGCGACGTGTCACCACGACAGTAAATGAAGAAATGATACATTCGACCTACGCTGCATTTAGAAAAAGATTGGAAAGTTGTGTTGAACTCGGCGGACTTAATGTAGAATAGTTTTGTAATGGCGCATACTGATTCTGCTGTGTTCTCAAAATAAATGTTGGATTAATGTTTTTGAGGTTTTTGATCCCCCTGTATAAAAAATAAATTATGCAAACATGTGCATCTGTTTTTCAATAAAGCAATATTTTTTAAATTGAATGGCTTCTCCGAAAGTATTAAAAATTAAGTAGAATCCTAGAATATCCCAGAATGTCGAGTATCAACTAGAAGGCCATGCTTTCATATTTAAACAGAATTTAATTCCAAGCAACTTTTTCCCATTACTTTTTCACGTAACGTTAAGATTTAAGGGACTTCACTCTTCATTGTTTTTACCTTTTCCAAATTTTTGAACACCCTGTACATTAAATTGAACAAATGATTATCTTGCCAAGGACTTCTGGACGAGCAAAAATTTTTATGACGAATGATTTTTTTGACAATTGAAATTTTGGATTCATTTCAGGTATGGGCAAGCCGAACTGGGGACACCCTGTACATACAGGGTGATTCAGAACTTATCCAAAAAAAAATTCTGGACGTACAGGGGACCCTTATAAATACAATTTTGTAAAGAAAAAATCAAAAAGGCAGGTCGAAAATGATTTAAAAATACACTTCTGCACAGCACTGGAAACTAGTCCACTGTAAAACCTGACCTCGCACAATGCGACCGGCATAGCAGCGTGATAAAAACGGACAAAAACTTTCGCAAGGAAAGAAATATGTAAATAGAATTTTATCGCACCTATTTTATATCGGCATATTCAACTGCTTTCGCCTTTATTAATTAATAAAATTAATTTGTGTTTTTAAATAATAAAATCATTTGACATACCCGATGTTACAACAATTGTTCAAAATTTTATCCACCAACGTGTAAACACATTTGGGTCCGTTGTACTCAGTTTCTACGAATTAACACAAATGTTGTCTTACTTCACCATAACACAAATGCTTCACCATAAATTAAAACGATATTCTCAACTCCGAGTTGCTATACACAAAAACCATTTTTGACACTAACTACCCATTTTTGACACTAACTACTAAAAACCTATTGTAAAACCACATATAACAGGTAAATACCATCGCAACGACGATTGCAAAATCCGATTTCAGTATTCGGAGTCGCTGAAGCCACGTGGCGAATGATGTTAGAGACTACAGTTGTCCAGCTATGTAGTGGTTGAATGTACTATAACTTCAATATTTTTTTTCTCAGAAACTATAAGGATTTTACAAAAATTTTTTTAC